GGGGGGGGGGGGGGAGGGGCTTCCGTCTGGGGCACCACCTTCACGGCAACCGGTGGGTGGGGGCTGTCGCCCACGTCGAAAGCGCTCCTGTTGCAAAGCACAGCAGTCGTAGAGGACAAGTGGAGTCGGGCACGAAGAAAGCACTCGTCGTGTGTTTATTTACCCTTCGTTCCTCCTCATTATCCAGCTGGCGCCTCAAATCGTACCATTCTTCTTCTTGTGCCGTTTCGTCGATGCTATACTACCGAAACGTGAAGATTGCGGCCCAAAACACACGAGCGGGAACAAATCGCGACGTCTTTTCATTGCCAGCCGCCGGTTGCAGTAGCACCCGTGTTCGGTGCCAACTTCATGACGCACGCAAAGCACGAGACACACGAGGCAAATGTGTTTTCCTCTCTTTGCCCTTCCCTTCACACCCCGCGCGTCTCTCGGTTTTGCCTGTGGCCACTCGTCCATCTCTCTGCATACCGTATACCCGCCCTCCCGCCCCAACCGCACACTAGCCCTTAAACTCTAACCCGTTCTGACCAAAAGGGGTATATCAAGGCGAGCGGGGGTAACGCGAACAGCAACAACGCTACCGATGGGGTGTCGAGATGTCGCAGCTGCGGGGCGGGCAACAGCGGCGCCTGCAGCTTCGTTCTCGGGGAGGGGCCCTACTGCTGGAAGGAGCCGGGGTCCCGGGAGGTGGAGCCGTGCTCGGTCTGCTGCACAAAGCCGGAGGTGCCTATTTACACGTGATTGGTGTGGCTGGTTGCGCCCCATTTTTTTTCCGTGTGTCCGTTGTTTTCGAATCCCCTCTGGGTTTTTGATTGCTGATGTTCCCCGTACGCTCGCGGTGTTTTAATAGTGCTCCTGGGAGGATATAGCTACATGCAGAGTTTCCGTGTACGTTTGTTTCCAGATCCAGATAGGCATATACAAATGTGTGTCACCTCCCCCCCCACTGCATCCTGTGCATTCTGTGTCCGCTATGATCTGCCAGGCCTTGTACCTGAATGGCACGTGCTACTGATGATAATGGTGATGACGACGGTCATGATCATGATGGCCGTGCACCATGGCGGTCGGAATATCGATCACGGGATGGTTTCAGCTGGTTTTGATGCAGCGCTCGATAGCTGGGGACCGCGCTTATTCTGAGGAACAACTGTAAACAATGCGCAAACAGAGCAGAAGGGGGAAGTGCTTCCTTCTTGTTTACCACCGGACGGAGTATTCATGAGACTTGCGACTTATCAAGTGTTCTAGTAAGACAGACAGACATGCCACCCTTTTGCTGGACACACACGGCGGGATAGAGCGAGGGAGCGGCACGTGGTATTGTATGTGGTATAAAATTGGAGTTTTTTTGTTTGTTTTTCTCCCATCATTGGATTCTGTCGTCTGCCCCTCTGGTCCATATCCTCCACTTCTACCAGCTAGACGACCCAACCGGGGTCACACAGGAGCGGGGGGTTAGACCCCCTCCTGCGGTTCCTGCCTGAGATATTTTTATCACGAGAAGGGTACAGCAATCCCTTCCCTCGCGACTTATGAAGTCGATCGAGTTTACTAACAACAAGCTTTGCAGCGCGTCCCCTTCATCCTAGACCAGGATTTAATAAGCGAGAAAAAAACTCACTCTGTCGGGACTCGAACCCATGACCTGCCTTAGCAGGCTACGAGACTACCCAGTAGACCACCGGGGCGACCGGTGTTGTGTACCAAGCTTGTTCTTTTTATTTTTTCTGGACGTATCATGCGTTCTGTCGTATAGTAGAATAATTACACTTTGTGGTCGGGGTCACACAAGAAAAATAAACGTTGACACACACGTTTTTGTTATCGCTGTTCCTTTTTGGTGCTGCTTGTCTTACAACGTGCGGTCATCAGCCACGCATGCTCGATGGTGACGATTATTGGAGAAACCAAGTTGTAGTGCCCGCATTTGTTGGTCCACACGCGGGTACCACCGCCGAATTCTGACAGACGGAAAACCATTGACCGGCGGGCACATCATGCCTCTCAGAATGTTGCGCACACACCACGGGCGAACTAATCGCTTCTGTTTGTCTGGAATGAAGTTTTTTTTCATGCTAGTCTTTCTGAATGATGATGATGACCACCCGTGACGAGAGGAGTGGGGAAAGGGGCTATAGGGGGCGACGTGAACACACCTTATCGATGTCTATAAACTAACGGACGAACGAACGTGGGTAAGCTCCATTCACTCGGCGAGAGGTTCGAAGTGAGGTATGAAACTTGCACAAGCCATTTCAATCGTTTGTATGTACGTTTGCCAATCGCCAGGAGTGCGAGGTTGGTTGGGCGTCACCTCAACCGCAGAGGCGACAGGTCGACGAACATTTTGTTGCCTCTCCGTCACAAACAAAAATATGAGGACAAAAAGCTAGCTTGTTGATGGAGGGACCCAATAATGATCTCCGTGTGAGGGAGGCTAGAGATGAACGCCCATCCATTTAGAACCGCCCCCAACACGCCTGATCGGTTGCATTCGTTCATTTGAGCCCGCGAACACGATGTGAAATACGTGCAAGAGCTTGCCACGACCACATACACGGACGCAGCAGAGGTTGAGTGCCTGTATGCCTACAATATACGCCCTGAAAATCCACCGGCCCTATTTGAATTATTGACAATGAATTAGAATTTCAGTGTGTCCGCCGAAATACACCGGCACTAAATGAAGACCTCTACTGTACCTACACAGGAGTGAGCCGCTCGCTGTGGCATAACGGAACAAGCGAGATCATTACGACACCCTTTCTGCGCCAAATTTGAATGGTCGTGCTGACTCCAGGGTTGACGGCGGTCGCTGAAAAATACCCTTGACTTCTTCCGCGGGACGTCGGTGCGCCCAGCACCCACCATCCATGTGGTTAGGGTCAAAGTGGATGGTCATAAGGAGACCCCGGGTTGTGTTTGTCCGTGTCTACATTCAGCTCAGTACTGCTTGTCCCTTGTTCTATGCGGCTACCGTACATTGCTTAACTTCTTGGCTGTACTGGTACGCATTCAATCGGCCTCCCGACCGACCGGACCGTGAGGGTGCTACGTTTGCTTGCAGCGGGGGTGCAGGAATGAATGCGTCCGGGTGAACGCAACACGTACTACCTCAAACAGATCCTGAAGTTGCATATGCGTATCTACATAGGTATTTTCATTTAGAGCGCGAAAAACAGGAAGGGCTGGAACCAATATGTAAGAGTACTGCAGCATGGGATATATCACTCATCATCTCCTGTGTCCCACGCCCTTGCGCAGTACCCCCAATGCCCCCCTCCCAGTAGCAAAAACAATTGGAAAATGCCATCTGCAGGTGCCCTACCTACCTAACGGAAACCTACGCATGCATCTGGGTGCCCCCCGAAGCAAAAACACTGTTGTAGCAAAAACAATTGGAAAATGCAATCCGCAGGTGCCGTACCAAATGGAAACCCACCTTTAGTGCCCCCGTAACAGGAACGGCCCCCGTAACAGAAACGTTGAAGAAAAAACAACTGGAAAATACCATCTGCAGGTGCCCTACGTACATGGACCCCGACGCTGGCATGCGTGCACGGTGATATCCCGTGTCAGGACAAAATTGTGATACCAAGCAATACTGCAAGCAGATTTTTTGTCGTTTCGCGAGCAAGAGAGCCGCAAGAGAATCCTTCCCGAGAGCCAAAAGACGCGTAGCTCCTCATTGGCCAACAACCGAAACCATTCGACAGAACACACAACCCAACAGCGGGCAAGCAGGCCGAAAAAGGCGGACAGTTCTTCACATTAGACTGACGAAATACAACCAACACAAAGACTAGTCAAGGGACGAGAGACAAGAAAAAGTCGAATACGTCGAAATGCTACGTGACCAAGAGCGCTTTCTTTCGCGCACAGACCGAGTGGTTCCTGAAACTCGGAAGGATCCTCCGTTGGTCGCACAACAAAAGAGCCAGCTTTGCACACCCAATCGAAACGAACACGAAACATAATAGACAACGAGGGCGAGTTCGGATGCTACAAACAACGACCACATACCTACACCTACCCATAGAACAAAAAACAAGGCGAGGTACGAGAAAACGTCGCTACATTACAACAAGGTCTCATCGGCCAGCAAACAAACGCTCAACACAGCTGTAACGCCATATCTACATCCGACCTGGTACCTCTCAACCCACCCACTCTTACCGTTGAAAAATTGCAAGACGGCCAAGTAACCTAGGTGGTGAGCGAACCGCCTTGACCTCATCGTCTTCCACATATAAACCTGTCTTCCCCTCCTTTATTCAACAACGGACAGACACAGCTTACAAGCGGAGAAGCACCAAACCGGCTCAGATCGGTTACCTCCCTCCGTTGAAGTGGTTTCACGTACGTCAGTTACTCTCCCTTAGTGCCACGAAAAATACACAAGACAAAATCTTGCTACAGTACAATCAACCCGCCCGTCTGCAAAGTGTGCGCTGCCCTCCTCGAATGAGCGGCCGGACAAACGCCACCGCCGAACTATACATACATACGTCCTACCCGCCTACCTACACATTCAACATGCTCTGGGTGTTTTCACCCGCACCCTTTATGTGATTGTTCTACTCTGCCTCACTCAGCAAGCCGACGAAGAGACACTTCATTCATTAAGTTACAAAAAATAATACCATAACTGGCAGGCGGTCGCAGCTCCTATTTCACTACTGTTTAGAGTGGAGGGCCCCCCGCAACATGGTTACACGGACAAAACGGGGGGATGTACCTCTTTGCCGAAGGAAGACGAGGTGCGCCGCCATCCGGTCTCGTCAACGCCAAGCAAAAGCGAACCACCACCATGCACGCAACTATCGCGAGCTAACATCTAACGTGCCATATCTACCACGAGGTCTACGTGTTTCGCCTACAGTACGGACCGACTTGGCGCCGCACGGAAACGGTCCACTCGAACGTGGTCAGTTAGGTACCAGTAATCATCACAACGAAAGTCGCACGGGCGATATGAATCAAACAAGCAACAGAGAACCACCAAAAAAAGACAAGAGCCATGCATATCAACGGCATACAAAACAGCCAACGGCGATTCAACACCCCATCACGCGAAACAACATCCCTCCAAAAACTCGTGCGAAGCGCCAAAGGAGTGTGGTTGCCGTTGGCGGCGCGCGCGCTTCGGCTGTCGCACCGTTGAACAATATTTGTACAATAATCGGGGCAACCAAAGATAGATCATGGACGGGGGCCTGCCGCAAGTCAAAGCGGCACCCCCTCCTAGTCATCAAACCAAAAAGCACAAAGAACAAGGCCTTACAATAGCTCCTCATCTCCAACTCGGATATTTGTTCCAAGGGGGAACGATTCAAGTCTCTTGCAAAACCTTGTTACAAAGAAGTGCTCGAGGTTTTGCTCGTTATTTTCCCAGAGCCGGCCCTCTTCCATGTTCATCACGCCGCGCGTCATCTCAGTCGGCCAGTCGGGTCCGTCGGTTCCGAACACCGCGGCCGTCCGATAGCCAAAGCTTCGCGCGAAACACAGGCAACCAACCAACCTCGCCTCATCAACATTGTACCCCTCCTAAGTCATGTGTAGCAGGGGGCGGTGGCGGGGCCCCCCCTCCGCCTTCAAGGGGTGGGGGCTCCTAGTACTGCAAGGAGTACACATTCTGGGAGTCGTCTGTGTTGGTGGGAGGTACACATGTACACGGGTGCACGTAGCAGGGGGGCGGGGGGGCGATGAGGATGCGTGCAACATAGTTTATCAATGAGAAACACGACAGCAGTAGTAGTCGTTTCGCGATATGTTCGTAGAAGGTGCGAGTAAAACACGGTGTAGGCAAATACCCTGGTGTACACGTCCGCAGGAAAAAGCACGTACCGGTGGGTACTACGAGACGTCCTCGTGGAGGGGATGTCACACTATTATTGCAGGCACACTGCTTGGGAAGAAAAACAAAGAAACTGCCACCATTTACGGAGTGTTCCGATAACTCACATCCGCCGCAGGTAGTGTGGGAATCGCCCGAGCATCGGTAGTTGCACATGCCCGCTCCGTGTTGGTCGTGGTCCATGTCGTCGCCGCACCAGCACTGCGGTAAGGCAGCAGTGAGGCCCCAATACAGCAGTAACAGGGGCGCCAGGGTGAGCAATGCGGAGGCGGAGGGGAGGAAGTGGCACTTGCTTTAGCAAACACGGAACGAGTAGAAAGGAAAATTCCGTCCGAAAGTTCGTTCGAAAGCTCGTCCGTGACTAGGCGTACATACATACATGTATATTGTGAAAGCTCTCCGGCCGTTCGCAAGTTATATAGGGGTGCTTTCGAAGCTGCCACTCGCGCCCACAAAACGTGAAACCCGAGAGGGGTAGTTACCTACGGTGGTGAGAGGATGTACCAGTCCGGTCACTTACCGTATATGACACAAGATAACACACCCCCTTGGCCGATTTTCGAAGCTCGATTTCTCAACTGCCGGAACAGTCACAGCGCCGAAAACGGCGGCGTTGAATCCGTCTGGTCAAGAGCTTTTCGAAAATGTATCGTTTCGTTTATGCATCCTCTTTGTCGTGGAGTAATCGATCTTTGATAATCGGTCCAGGGGGTGTGTTATCTTGTGTCATATACGGTATGCAGTTGAACGGGGCTCACCTCGTGGCCGTACTGCAGGCCATACACCGCGGCTTTCCGGCGCCTGCAGAACTGCTCGCAGATCTGAAGAACAAATGAAGGGTGCAAACAAACAGAAAGAAGATAGGTCAGGATACCTTCGCACCTCATGACACACCACACCCGTAGCAACCCTCTGTAGCTCTCTTTGTTGCAACTGCAGGGGGCGACAAGTTTAGAACTCACGCGGTTCCTCTTGTTTACTCTCGTGGTAACTAGTGGGCAATGATTAGTTCTAGAAGATAACACTTTGGTACCATACGCAATATTGACATCTCGCCTGCAAAGTAATTAATCCGGTCCACCGCAGTAGCAGGAACCCGCGCCCACACAGAATTGACGCCAGCAAACACTATCCAAACAAACACAGGAGTACTGCCAAGGTGTACCGTTTCTGGTATAAGTTATTCGACGGATACCCTGCCACTCTTGCCCTCCTCAATAGTTTACTAGTACTGTAGTAGCAAAATTTGTCTGTTTTAGTATGCATATCACGTCTTCGTGCCTGCACGGTCATTCGTCCGCTGCACCACAGGAAGCCCTCGCCGAGGGCGCGGTCACCCTGCTTGTCCGCCTGGCAGCCAAGGTAGTCGCTGTTAATGGGCACCTTGGGTCCCCCTCCCATGAAGAACGCGTCCACAGCCAAGTCTAAAATACAACAAATGAAAGCGTAATTGGAAACCAGGGGAACAAGTTTAGCGCAAGCTCCAATCAAGTAGCCATCTACACCCGGTGACCGTTAGTACGACGACAAACTAAAAAACTTGAAAAATAAAGAGTGGACGCGAAGGGGACAATTTAAGTACAAGCCCCTCTAAAACACAAATAAAAATGGGACACAATTAATTTGGGGCAAGTTCACTACAAGCTCCAATAAAGTGCCGTGGTCCAGGACAACGAGGAAGCAACGCATACAAAAGAAACAGAGCTGACAACAGGGGACGAAAAACAGTACATCCCAATGAGGTACACGCGACCGCACCGTAAGAAGTCGATGGCAACAAACAATTAGGGGGGGGGGGGG